GAGCAAGAAAAATTATCACATAATACTGACAGGGAATGTTCAGAACTGGGTAATTAGCAGAAAGACAAAAAGCTTTTGTGTTTTATTCTCAGTACAGGACATATCCAACATACCTAGCACAGCTTCCACAGTCTAAAAGGAAGCAGTGGAGCTGAACATTGCCAGGATTCCTGCTTCCTTACCCTTCCTACATGGCATTGCTGATCCTCAGGATACCAATGCAGAATCATAAATGGTTTGGGTTGGAAGGGACCTTAAAGATCATCCAGTTCCAACCCCCTGCATGGGCAGGGACACCTCCCACCAGCCCAGGTTGCTCCAAGCCCCATCCAACCTGCCCTTCAACACTGCCAGGGATGGGGCAGCCACAGCTTCCCTGGGCAACCTGGGCCAGGCTCTCACCACCCTCACACCCAACAATTTCCTCCTCATGTCCAACCTCAATCTCCCCTCTCCCACTTTTAATCCATCCCCCCTTGTCCTCTCCCTCCCTGCCCTTGTCCCAAGTCCCTCCCCAGCTTTCCTGGAGCCCCTTCAGGCCCTGGAAGGTGCTCTAAGGTCTCCCTGGAACCTTTTTTAATCCAGGCTGAACAGACCCAACATGTGGACAAAACACCAGGGCCTGGTATCCTCCACAAAGACAAATCCTGGGATACTTGAGCAAATCCCTGGAATACATCCCAGCTTTGACAGGACTGTCTCTCTACACCTCATACTTGTATTTTTACCTCAGGTTAATCCAAACCATGCCCTTTCCTCAGCATCAGCTGCAAGTGGGAACTGCCACGGTGCATTCCCAGGAGTCTGAGTGCTCAGAGCCTCAGCTTGATTTAAAATATGATGCTCTCTACCTTTTAAGGTGAAAACTAATTGCATGTTACTGTACCCAGGAAATCAAGGGGGAGCTTTTCAAGTTAAGCTTTGTTTCCACCAAACCCTGGTGGTCTCCAAGTTTTTTGTAAGCTCAAACAAATGGGACAAAACACATGCTAATGCCCAGACCACCTGACAGGCCAGCTTTTGAAATGCACCCAGCAGCCTAAATCCCATTCCCAGAGGATACACAGAGACAATTTTCCATGTAAAACGATTACAATTTAAAAGAAAAACTTATTTTTAGCTCAAGGCATTCTGGCAGCTGGAGATGCAGATTTGTGGCTCTTCTAACCACTAAACACACAGGGATTGCAGCATTGCCTGCTCTTTAGCTTTTAATTTACAGAACTAATTAGCTGGATTGACTGTCTTTAGCTTCCCTTCCCCTCTGTTTGCTTAAGGAGGAATAGATGAGCCCTGTGTGTCAGGTCAAGCCCAACAGGCCAATAATTCCAGCACAAGGAGGCTGGTGGGAAACACTTTGGATGCAGCAAGAGCTTCACATTGTGTGGCAACAAATTTGTGTCACTTTGTGCAGGGGGAGGTGAGACAGGCAGAGCCCCCACCTGGCAAAGACACAGATCATGTGGAGGAGGAGTTAAAGCTTCTCCAGCACCTCCTACAGATGTTCTGATCACGAGTAGATTCTGGACTGGGAGAAAGGAAAACACACGATTTTTTAAAACAAAAATCAAAACGTCAATGATTTCCAAAGCATATTCTGGGATCAGTATGAGGGAACACGTGCGGGAAAGCCATGGAGGCAGTGGATCCACTACACCCAAGGTCTGGAAATTCCCTGGTTAGCAGAACTACAGAGAAACCTACGTGTCAGTTACACAGAAAATAATCATTTTCCTGGAGAAAATGCCCCATTCCAGGAACACACAGAACAGCACCACAGAGCTTAGACTTCCAGCTACTGAAATGATTAATAGTTAAGCAGCAAGTTCTTCAACAAAAACAAAGCCTGCAATTACACTTGATTAGCAGTGCTTTATTTAATGACTAGGGGATGAAGAGACCTTCCAACCACAAAGATGTTCACGAACACCAGAGCATTCCAGCTGGCAACCTGTTCAAAACCCTGTTCCTTTTGGAACTGCTCCCTCTCCTTGCAGAAGCCCAAGAGGCTCTGGGAAGTCCAGGAAGAATATTTCAAAATTCCTCCATTTAAAATGTTTAATTAAAACGTTATTGCAATATAATGATAATTACATTATGATGAAGTGAAACCCCACTTTCACCACTCAGAGAGCACTTGCAGCATCACCCAAGTTGGAAAACCCAGTCTCAGACCATTCCACAGCCTCCAGGCTTGTCTCCCTGCTACTAGAAAACTCAAGACTCGCTGGGAAACACTCAAGTTCAGACCCATCATCAGCCCTCAGGTGCTTCAACTCAACAAGAGCCTCTTCCACAGGACACACCAGCCCAGAGCCACCTCCCAGAACCCTGATAGCCTTTATCTTGTAAAACCTGGACTTTCTCATGTCCCAGAGCTCCTCACAAGCTTGAAAAACACCCTGGAGAATCAACCACCTCTTCTCCCCATTGCTGGGGAGCTGCAGCCTTGCAGCAGCTGTATCCCACTGCTGGGTTGCTCCAGCAAGTTGTCAAGTTATTTTTGTTGGCTGTTTCTAAGCTGCTTCTGGGTGGGGTATGCACAAGGTTGTTAAACAGTTTTTACATCCACTAGGGCAAATTTAAGACATGCCAGCCATGGTAACACAAGATGGAAAAACAGACCATGTTGGTTCATTTCAGAGTGGCAGCTTTCAGTCCATCCAGCGATCCTGGAACACTTCTAGCACCCTACACACCAAGCATGTCTGGCTGGGAAACTCTGCACTGCTCATTTTCATTGCATTCCCTTTGAAAACACCAACAGGGTGAAACAGATCATGGAACATCATCACAAACAGACAGGAAAGGACAAGGAGATGTGGAAAAAAAATCTGAGAGTTACTGAAGGAGACATTTACACATCAGGGTTTTGGGTTGGCTCTATAAAAACAGCGCATTACTCGAGAAATCTTGTTTCCTGCTTAATCACTGCTCCAAAGTCTGTACTTGATTAGCAGAAGCAACACTATTCAAGCTTCAGCACAGAAATCTAACACATACTCAGCTTTATGGAGCTAGTTCTGGTTTCATGACCAAGAAAAGCTTAGCAAAATGTCTTTTTTCACCACAGCAACTGCAAGGCTGGGGCATTCTTCCCCTTTTTGTCCAGTGCTACTTTTCAGACAGTAACAAAGAATTTCCCTCACCAGATTTAACTTACCTGCTCCCAGTGTTGGTTCTCCCAGGAAGAGTTTCAAAACGTCCTGCAGTGATCTAGGTTTTTGGAAAGGAAATCTCACTTTTCACTTGTGAATTAAGACTGAATTAACTCAACTAAGATGCTTAAAACAAACTGTTAGTACAACATGGCCTCAGTACAAAGACATCCAGAGCAAGGATTCTTTTGACATGAACCACATCAGAGGTGAAGGAAAGGCAAGAGAAATTAGAAAGGCATTAAGAACAGTCCAAGCCAAACCGTATCCAGCTTTATTAAAGGTACTTTTCATAAACAATCATGGTAATTTAGGCAGGACATGGGCTACAATCTGCAACATTTTACAACAACTGTCAAACTCCCCCTCTCCCTTCATGGACTACCAAAACGTAGAAGTTGCTATAAAACTGAAGAATCTTCATTTCATACTTGAAAAGGGGGAAAAGTTTAGAGTGAGGGTGGACACTTTCACATTTAGCATGTTGTTTAACAACTCTTCACAAACCTACCCTGACTTTTAGAGGGGAAAAAACCCAAGAATTAAAAGGCAAATTTCTTAATCTGAAGATCCATCATATAAAAGTGGAAGTACAGCTCCTTTTAGAGCCACTATATCCCAAATTAAACACCAGAAGTCTGGATCACCCAACAATACATTAGGAGTCCCAAAATGCTGGGGGTTTTTTGCTGTATTTTGGAGTGTCACGCTCTAGGCAAACCAGGAGGATGTGAAAGGAAAGAGAGGCAATTACAAATTGTGGTTTTGAAATCAGTAGCAGGCATCTTGGGAGCTCCCACATTCACTTGGATGCACTTCACAGAACTGAAAAGATGTACAGCATGAAGGAATCCCTTCCTCCTCTACTCTAGAAGGGCCCTTCTTCCAAAAACTGGGGGACCAGGAAAACTTTTTCTTATTAAAATTTAGGTTCCAAGAAATAGACTAAGTGACATTTGTCCCCACTGTCCCCACCCC